TTGCGTTGGGTCTTCATTGCTCCTCGTGGGCTTTCTCTAGCTGCGGCGAGCAGGGGCTACTCCTCGTTGCGGTGCGCGGGCTTCTCCTTGCGGTGGCTTCTCTTGTTGAGGAGCACGGGCTCTAGGCATGCGGGCTTCAGTAGTTGTGGTGCACAGGCTTAGTTGCTCTGCGGCATGTGGGATCTTCCTGGACCAGGGCTCGAACCCATGTCCCCTGCATTGGTAGGCAGATTCTTAACCATTGCTCCACCAGGGAAGCCCTGAAATGTATTTTTCTTAACACAGTTTTGACGCCAGGTTTCTTCCAGGGCAGTTAATGCCTTGGGCAGTGGAACGGGACATCCCCTGCTCACCAGTCTGGCGTGCTTCTCTGGGGTCCCTTGTATACTAGCATCAGCCACCATTCACGAGCACCCACTATGTGTTAGACAGTGGGAGGTGTTCTACACATGCCTTGGTTCTCATCTGCACAGTAACCATGCGAGGTGAACAGGATTTGCTCCAGCCTTGAGATGAAGAAGCCGAGGCCCAGCCGTCACAGGTTAGTGGGAGAGCTCGGAATCTGAAAACCCGAACCTGGGCCCAGTGGCTGCACCCCTCTGGCGGAGGGCTAGTGGAACGGGCCGCTTATTATGAATGGCTATCCCTCGTCCTTCACAATTGGCTGGGCTGCATCCAAGGGAGAATTTTGGTGGATCAGAAGAAATCTGCAGAGTAAGTGCATTTGCACTACTGTTTGGGGATCTACACTCTAAAGGCACTGTGACAGTGATGAAGGGTTATGGCACTTGTCTCCCCAGACTAACAGCTATCAAAATCCATTCTTGCGCTGAGCTGTCGTCCTTGAAACGTCAGTAACACACACTTACATGACTGTTCATACAGTCCAATGGACGTCTTCTATTGCCTACTTTTCTCAGCTTCTCACACAAGTTATGAAAGTCTGAAGGCCCCTCCATTTTGCTAGGCAGGCACGGTGGTAAAACATCCTTCCTCCTCTTTCCTCCACGTAGTGTGAGGGGTCTGGAGACAAAAGGATCCTGTTTGGGCGGATGACTTAACAATGTCAGGGGCTGCTGGTGCCAGTTACTGAGGGCTGGGCCTCAGACGGGAAAAGGAGACTTGGAGGATGGGATCATGGCCAGTAGCAGGCATGCCATTTCCTCTGGGCACCTTCTCCTGCGTAGGGAGAGAAGAGTGTCCTAGATGGGTGGTGCTGGGGGGCAAAAGTTGAAATAGCCCCTACTCTAGGAGGTATGCCAGGGGTTGGTTGACCCCTGTGCATATAGCTCTCTCTCTCTCTTTTAAAAATACCTGATATATTTTGGTGAAAATATTTCCATGCCTTTTTCTGCCATTAGCTTGAGGGCTCCAGGGTAGGATCATTGCTACTCACAGAACATAAGCCAGAACCGAGCATGGGATTGGCATTTAGGAAATATTGAGATGAGGACTCTAAGGAAGTCATATTCTGTAAGTTGCTCTATGTGGCTGTCTTACTCACTGAGTTAAATATCCCTGAGCTTCTAGTCAAGTCACGTTTAAATGTTGTATCTAGTCTCAGATGTCCTGGAGAATTAAGTAAGGAAATTAAGGTATCTATGCCAAACTGTAAAGGGGAAAACAATACCCGCCCCCCCATCGATTTCCCTCCCCTTCTCCCAGGATAACAGAAATGATGATTAAGAGTCCCGACGGGAAGGTGAATTTCAGGGAGAACAGCTGGGGTGTTAACGACTGTCTCTTGGATATTCTCCATTTCTAGTCTTGGAAAATCTAACTTTCATTTGATTAAGGAAAGTAGCAGGTTTCTCATCGGCACTATGCCTATATTTTATACCTATAAAAAGCAGGCAACAGCCTGCACTTTTAGGGAACATGCAATACAATAATCTGTTCTGAACTGGAGCTGACATCTGAAGCTTCTCATGGTCCTACCTGCCCGACAGTAGTGAAAACTACAAAAACCTAGAACCAAAAACATCCTGGCCTTTGTTAGGAGCACCTTCTATATTTTGCATTTTTCTAATAATAGCTACCTAAAGATACTCTGCTAGTTACATCATCATGCTGTCACTAATCCTCACAACTCTGCAAGGTAAAATATTACACTAAACCTACCTTTACAGACGAGGCAACAAACGCAAAAAATTTTGTAATTTTCCCAAGCAGGAGGTCCCAAAGGTCATAAGCTTGTAAGGGCCTAAGCTGGCATCAGAATCCCTTGTTATTGCCACTTATGTCAGATGGCTTCTGATATGACTGATATCCGCTGTTTTCTCTAAGCTAATTTTCAGACTTCTTGGTCTGCGGAATTATTTTTTTTAAAGGATCAGTGATTACTTGCAGGTTCTTTTTTATTTTTTTAATTGACTCCCATGTATGTCAATCAAAACAGTTTGTGCATGCAATTACAGTTTTCAGAATGGGTGCTTGGAATGGAGCAATATGAAAAGAAGTGGAAAAACATCAAACCTTGGCAACTGGTTTAGTAAGAATTATACTTCTAAGCTTGCAGTCCATGAGGAATTTGCAGAATTTCCTCTTCCTGAACTGAACTACTTCCTTCCTTCATTTCCCAGGTCAGCTTAAATCCTGGCTCTTGCTTGAGGCCTCCCCTCAAATGAAAAGCTCCTTTTTCACACTATGATAATAGGTATAGAGCGTCCCAGTCAGATTGCTCACTTGATCACTTAATCAGAGTCTGCCTTACCATTTTACTGAAATGTGTCCTGAGCTTTTGGTTTTCACTACTTTCAGTGTCAAGGGCACAAGGGCTAAGGGTTACACTTCTTTATATCCCTTTTGTAGCAAGATGGTGCTGTGCACATAGAAGTTGCTCAGTAACACTTGATCCATGTATAAATAGGTGAAAAATAAGTGAATTTGGAAAAATTCAGGGAGTAAGTAGATTAGGATGGTATAGTAACAAACATTATAAAAAGTACTTTAAAGTTTATAAAATGCTTCTCAAGCAACCTCATTTGTACCTCAGAATAACCCAGAGGAAACTGGCTTGGAGAGGTTAAGAAACTTACTCTTGACACCCAGATCCCCTTCCTCCAAAGCTTGTTTTATTTCCATTATAGTTGACTCTTAATTATGAATATGAGATTAAATGTGGAGACAGCACCCCCATAAAACATCCTCACCAGCAGAGGGCGCAAGAATATGTATGGGTCTTGGAGTAAGATTTGCATACTGGCCCGGCCACTATTTTTTTTTTAATATAAATTTATTTATTTATTTATCTTTGGCTGCGTTGGGTCTTCGTTGCGTGTGTGAGTTTTCTCTAGTTGCGGCGAGGGGGGGCTACTCTTCGTTGTGGTGCACAGGCTTCTCACTGTGGTGGCTTCTCTTGTGGAGCACCAGTTCTAGGCCTGCCGGCTCAGTAGTCGGGGCTCGCGGGTTCTAGAGCACAGGCTCAGTAGTTGTGGCGCACCGGCTTAGTTGCACCGCGGCATGTGGGATCTTCCCGGACCAAGGCTTGAACCCGTGTCCCCTGCATTGACAGGTGGCTTCTTAACCACTGCGCCACCAGGGAAGCCCCTGGTCCAGCCACTTTAAGAGCTAGTGACCTTGGGCAAATCATTTTATTTTTCTGAGCCTCATCTGTAAGCTAATGATGATAATCTCCCCTACCCCCAGCACTGCAGAGTAGTCATAAGGATTAGAAATCTTCTGTGGCTAGAACATAGTAGGTGAACTGTAAATTGTATCTCTCCTGATCCCCATAAGAAGATCACAGGAGCGGTTTGGAGCTTAAATTGGTATTAATTCTTGTTTGATGTTTTAATAAATATTTGAAATTAGTTTGCATATTTGACCCTTACAATAGCTTAAATGGGCAAAGAAATGAATATTGATGAAAAAATTTTAATAACCAACGCTGGCAAGAGTGAGGAAGCCAATTGGAACAACTTTTCTGGATAGAAAGCCTTAAAAATATGGTATGTCCTTTGCCCCCAAATCCATTTAACCTAGGCAAATAATATTGGATGGTAGCAAGATTTAGCAAAACAAAGGATATCATCATCACTCTTTATAACAGCATAAGAGGAAACAACCTAAATGTTCAATGTAGCGCACAGGCTTAATAATTATAGTTTCTCCATCAAACTGAACACCGTGCAGTCATTAAAATGATGCTGTAGAAGAATATTCTAAAAGGAAGGATGATCACAACACAGCAAGCAAGGATCACAAGACACAAACAGCCCGCTTTAACTTTTGTTTAAAAATATACACAGGACAGAAATCAAAATCTCCATAGGAGATGCGATTGTTAGTGAAGCTTTATATTTTTCCTACTTCTCTTTGCTTATCTTATTCTCTAAATGTTCTGCAATAAACATGTATCACTTTTTTGATAAAAATAGTTTTCTCTTTTACATGTGCAGAGTTGGTGTTTTTTTTAAACACTGCCTATCAGCACAACCAGACCAGTGGTCAAGTAAATTAAGTTAGTTGTAACAAAGTAACTTGGTAGTTTCAAGTCGTTAGTTGAAGAGAGTAATTAAAATCCTAATGAAATTACACAGCACTGGTCGCTTAGCTGCAGTAAGGCTGCTCTAAATATAGACACTGGGTTCCACTTTCTCAAAAGGCCTAAAAATGGCATAACATAAAAAATGAACAATTGTTCACATAAAGGGCCATGTGCCATGTTTGTCCTAAACCACTGTAACCCGAACTCACCCATATCTCATCCTCCAGGCTGGCTGCATGTCTCTGGAAGGGTGTATTTGCTCTACATTACTCATTTTACTTTCTTGAACTTGAAATGGAGTGGAATTTCAATGTACAGTTACCCATTAGCTCCAAGGCTAAATTTAAACCTTTAATTAAAGTAATCCCTTGATCTTAAACACATTTCTTCTCCCTCAGGAAAGTGTAGAGGGTTTCTTAGATGTCACAGAACTCAAGTCAGTGTGACAATTGTTCCTACTGCATTTGGTAAGTCACCTGAACCGCACTGGGAAATCTGCAGGCGTTTTCGGATGGCTCATGGTAACCACCCCCCACTCCAACCCCCCCAGGACAGGCATTTGTTGGGCATGAGGTTGGGGTACAGAATTCTGCCACCCCTCGCAGATCCAGAGCTGCAGCTTGGACAGGTACTCATCTTTACATAAGACATTGTAGGTGCCAGACGGATGTTTATGAAATAAATGACAGAAAGTAGCTGTGCATATTGTTCCCAGTTTATATGGGAGGAAAAGAGATCATACCCCACAAAAATTTGCAAGGTGACAAGGGCAAAGGGTTGTGAGGCCATATTAGCTTACCTTGTTCTTCACGGAAAACGGAGCACGTTTCTGGGTCGAAGTAAAAATTTATGTTGGCCTTTGCTAAGAAAGAGATGAAAAGTGACAGCACCATCCAATGGAGATGTGTCAATTAGTCTGGCCACACGTTTGATGTTCGCGCCTGGGTTCTTACGCACTCTCGGGTATGCATTTAAATCAGGGGCTGCATCCTCAGTCTGCGAATCAATGAGACACAAACTCAACGGTTAGCGACAGCTTTATGGTGGGACTGTCCACATAAGGGGTGTGTAACTATTAATAAGGATGTATTTGTCGGGGCCCAACAGCAGCGCGGGATCCAGTTAACAAGCTCGCGGGCCAAATCTCCGCGTCGCTCCAATTAATTGTCCCGCAGAACCCACAACTCTCCCGGGACCACATTTTCACGCCGTGACTCATGGGGTTCTGCTCGCGCCCCCAATTCCCAGTCCAAGCGCTGCGAGGAAACGTGCTACCTCCCTCACCTGGGCGCGCGCCCTGGGAGCCACCAACTCTCCCCGCAGTCGGCTCGGACTACCTGGACCGCCCGGCCGGTCCCTCGCCCCGCCACCCGCTTGGCTTTCCCTTCCTCCTCCTCTTCCTCCTCCTCCGGCCCCCCGCCTCCGGCCGCCAGCCTCCGCGGCTGCCGCCTGCGGCTTTGTTTTCCTCCCAGGTTTCATTCCCCACACGTGATACAGTGTTTTTGCAAAGAGCGCTTCGGAGCGCGAGCGCGGGGCGCGCGCACCTATAAATACGGACACCGGGGCCCGAGAGGGCCCGGGACAGAACCCCCAGGCTGCTGGCGGGCGGGCAGACGGCCAGCGAGCCAGCGAGCCGCGCGCGTGGGCCGGAGCGGCGGCGCCCCCCGCCCGAGCACCGAGGGGCAAGCATGGCCCGCCCGCTGGGGGGCCGGGCCGCCGCGCACGCCGCCCGCGCCCCGCGCCCTGCCCAGCCCGGGTCACCGGCGCTCGCGCCCGCCGCTTAGCACTCGGGCGCCGCTCGCTTCTCGGGGCATCGCGGAAATATCGCCGCAGACGGACACAATGGCGGCGACTGCCGCCACCACGGCCGCCACCGCCGGCAAGGCCGTCCGCAGCAGCAGCAGCAGCGCCGGCACCGTCGCCGCGGGCACCAGAAGATTGCAGCAGCCGCCACAGCAGCAGCCTCAGCCCGCGGCCGCCGCGCCGGCCCAGCCGCCGCCGCCGCCGCCGCCGCCCGAGCCCCCCAGGAAGACCCGCATGGACCCGCGGCGCCGCCAGGCTGCCCTCTCCTTCCTCACCAACATCTCGCTGGACGGACGGCCGCCCCTGCAGGACGAGGAGTGGGCCGGCGGTGAGGAGAGCGGCGCGGCCAAGCCGGGCGCAGGCAGCGCCTACGGCGCGAGGACGCGGCTCAGCCTGCTCGCCGCCGCCGAGCGGGGCGGTTGCGGCGCGCTCGCCGCGGCGGGCACAGCGGCGGCGTTGGCAGCTGGATCGGGCCCCTGCCATCCGCCGCCCTCGCCGCTGCCGACCCTGATCCCCGGCGGCCACGCGACCGTGCTTGGCCCTGGGGCGGCCCGAGGGTTCGCGAGCCCCCTGGGCGCGGGCCGGGCATCGGGGGAGCAATTGCAGCCGCCCCGGCCCGCGCCTCTCGCCGCCTGCGTTCAGCCGCAGCTGCCCGACGGGCCCGGGGGCGCCGGGCAGGAGGAGTTGGAGGAAGACGATGCCTTTACCAGCGTGCATGTGCCGGCGGCCGCCTTCTTGGGCTCCGGGACCCCCGGGAGTGGGAGCGGTAGTCGTGGCCGCCTCAACTCTTTCACTCAGGGAATCCTGCCGATCGCCTTCTCCAGGCAGACCTCGCAGAACTACTGTTCCCTGGAGCAGCCGGGCCAGGGGGGCAGCGCCAGTGCCTTCGAGCAGCTGCAGAGGTCCCGGTGAGTATCCAGGACGCCACGCGCGCCTTACCTCGCGTCCCTCCCGGCCCGCTGTCTGCTGCGGGACTCGGTCGCTCCCAATTCCCGCGCCCTGCCGGATCCCTGAGCTTCTGGCGCGAATTCCAAACCACGAGGGCACGCGGAAGAGAGAAAGTCTCTAGGGAGCGTGTGTGTGTGTTCACACGTGTGTGCACGAGCCCGGCACTCACAGAGCCGAAGCACCATGCTCATGCAGTGGGTGCCGAGTTAGGGCTTGCGGGAGCCCACTAAAAGCGGCACCAAAACCTCCCACTGCAAGGAGGGGATCACGAGCTTCCAGAAACCCGGTCCGGACCCGGAGAAGCACTCTCCTTGCGCCAGGCAAGACTAGGCGGGGCGCAGAGTTGAGCCGTGGGTCCGGCCGGCGGCTAAGCGGCGCGTGTGAGCCGAACCTGTCGCAGACACGCCGTGAATCCCTCCTGAGAAGTTCTTCCTGCGCTCAAAGTATTCCAGTGTCCCAGGAGAACTTGGCGTTTTCCTTTTGCTTTTCTAAGAAAAGGGAAGTCCTTATGTTCCCTTGAACCAGGCCTTGGTGGTGGGGGACAGGGAGAAAATAGGGCTTGAGGATCCTTTTTTCCATTCCAAGGTGAATTTGCTGAAATTAGTGGAAAGGTGGTTGTGTTCGCTTGCTTAAGTCATCTGCGGGTATCAAGTATCTTAGCAAAACCGTGAAATGTTGGACACTTGCTTATTCAGGAAATGGCTAGAGCTTGTCACTTATGTTCCAGGGACAGTTGGGGAGCTAGGTCTGCATCAGGCAGTGGGACTGGAGGTTGGGAGAGAACAGGAGTGGGGAGCCCCAAGGAAGTGCAGACCTGTTCTCTGGGAGGCTTGTTACTTAGGAAGGCCTCTTAGGCTCCCTATGGCTCAGTTATTTTAACTTCCTGGGGCTTCAGTTTCCCCTTCTGGAATGGGACCTTGCCATCATGTTGCAGGCCTCAAGGTGAGAAGGGGGAACCTTCCCTGTTACAGCCTCTCTCCTGTAATGCTCATCTGAACACTTAGGCTTTTTCTGGCCTAAGTAAGAAGGTGGCCTGTTGGAAAACTTAACTTCCTCCCGCAGTGGACAGATGGGAGAGAACAAGGCAGGCTCCTGCAGAATTTTGTTGAGTCTGTTTCTTCCCAAGTGGTGAAATCATGACCCTGCTTGGTATGTAGCATCCTAGCTGAGTGCACATGGGCTGCGGGCAGGGGTGTGGAGCGGTCGAATAGCTTTGTGACTGCACGGATGATTAGTGATGCTGGGCACAGGTGACAGCCTGGGCCTGGCATTTCTTGTCAGAGCATGCCTCTCCCCGTTATTGGGCCAGTGCACAGGAGGGGAGGGGAATCCCTTCCGTTCTGGGTGAGTGGTTCAGACTCAGCAGTTTCTGGGCAGCTTGACATCACGCACTGGCTCTTAATGACTCTATAGTTTGAGCGTGAGCCCAGCTTGTCCAGCGGGTCAGGACAGGAGTTGTAATAAACATACATGTTATTCTAAGCCAGTGTGCAAGATTGCCCTGTGTCTCGTAGTAGACAGATGTGTTCCCATGCTCAAAACATCTGGAGACCAAATAACTTCACACTTTGTCTCCAAGAATCTCATTTCAGAGGACACGGAGGATCTTGTGTGTTGATATTTCTGATCCAAAAAACAGCCAGATTTAATCTCTGAACCTATAAATATGAACCCCTTGGGTGTTTTATTGATTCCCCCCCCC